CAATAATTGCATTTCAGTCATAAGGACCAAATGAAAACTAATGAGTTTATTGTTATTGTGAGTAATAGGTTTAGTTTGTAACTTTATTTATTTTCATGTAGTATTGTGTTGTTTCATGTATTATTCTGCACGTTTCGGACAACTTAAGAGCTTTATAAATCATTGTTTTATTAAATTAATGCACAATAATGAAACACATCTGTAAAACACAATGTTTGATAAATATGTATTGTTTATGCATTAGATTTATCGTGTGTGTGTGTGTATAATATTATATATAATATTATATTTATAAATAATATTATATTTATTTATTTATTTTAATTACAGGTACCACACAAGTGGCTCCAGTTCTGTTGTCTGTAGTATAGAATCCGGACAGCTGGAGAAGTCGGAGAAGATATCTGTATTGCATGAAAATATTTTGGAGAAATCAGTTTTGAGGAAGTCATAAAAGAAAAGGCAAAGCAATGGTAGTATTGCAAGTTCAATAAATAGGTTTTTCTTTAACACAATAAATGTAATTCTCCACAAGAAATGTGTACTCCTCTCACCTTCATTGAATTAAAACCTACACATCTTGTCTATTTATTTATGTCTTATCATTTCTTTTTACTTTCGAACAATGTCTTTTAGTAAATACATTAATTTAACATTATGACAACACGATATACCTATTTTTTTAATGACTTTTTTTGCACTTTGTGTCGATTTTGACCAATAAGTCATTTTTTTGCTGATTTAATAGATTTTAATATAATTTCAAAGATACTGGCTTCAAATAATTTAAGAAACAACAAAGGTTTTCCACAAAATGCCTTACCGCATTGAATTTCTTAACTGAAAAATTGTAATGTCAGTCGTCATGAGTATGTAATCTAAGGTTCCTATGACTACTATCATTACATCATCACTATACTGCCATTGTTGATACAACCAATTTAGCTATAACTGAAGATTTCCTCATAAAGATTAGTCTAAACCTAAAAATTTGCAAGCAGTGTTCACTTGAATGAAAAGAAGGAGCTTTGTTTACATTAGTAATATATCTAACAGGTTGAGTAATTTATGTGAATAGGTTTTGATCAAATCTTTAGTCATTTTCCTTTGTTTTTAGAGCATTTTATTCATCATTTTGGGGATATTTTAGGTCATCAAAGTCCGCCCAAAGTGATGAGTTAGAAGAAATAACATGTTTTAAACTAACCTATAATATTTGAAATTTCTATTGGGATATGTAACTTTAAATTAAACTGTACATCCGGAAGAGGATACAGGTTCACAAGGTCTGAAATCTACTGGAAAGAATTCCATTATGTTTGTAATAATTTTTAACGGTGTTGACAAAATATTGGACTATGTATGTAAATCAATAATTTCAGATTTAAAAACTACCATTTAATGAGGCTTAATAAATTGCACACAGTTATTCTTATCTCCGTAACAATTTCAAATGTTCTTTAATTAAAAACTTGGCTAAATGTTAGAACTAATTCAATTATGTTTTCAACTATTTAACAGGGATTACCACAAAGGGGTAATATGCATGAAACTGAGACCTTTTTTTTGCCTGCTGATATCTCTGTCCACCCCACCCATCCTGTGCAGCATGAAAAGAGCATGTGAGTCCACCCACCCCTGAACTCTTCAATGGGAAAGAACAGAAACAGGTTGGTGCAGCTTATGATCTAACATTCAACTCTTCTGGTGATTTGACAAGGAAGCCACTGTTGTCCTGATGGGGGAGGGGGAGGGGCATGCAGTTGCCAAATCATGAGGTGTTACCCAGACAAGGGTTGCAAGTTAAATTTAGTGTTTACACATGTCTATTACAGGAACAGAACATTGTAATTATAGTCAGTAGCACTGATCCTTTTTTCTTTATTGTATTTGTAGTATAAAGAAAACATTTACCACTGACAGGAGAAAATAAGCAAATATCATAATAATAATAATAATAATAATAATAATAATAATAATAATAATAATAATAATATCAACAACAATAATAAATAAAAAAGAAGAAGAAAGAAAACCTTTTACTCAGATATGTAGTGTACTCTGTTATAACATTTTCCAGGCCCTTGATAGAGAAAAAGAGGTTTTTGGCAAAACGTGCGCTTGTCCAAGTGTCTATGGGCAACACTAGTTGCCAAATCATTCACAGGATTTTCTCAAAAATTTATATAGCCTGATTGATTATGCTGCACTTCAGTCTTTGAATTTGAAACAAATTTTAAATTTTAGAAGTGTTCATAGATCAACATCAGATACTAGGCCTAGACAATCAGATTCCTAAAGTTTTCACAAAATTAATGCTCTCAGTGAATAAGAAGCGTTCCCTATTGAGGCAATACTTTGACGCAGGTCCAAAGGCACCATCAGTTTAAATGTGTATGGTACATCGATACTGACAAATTCCATAAAATTTATTCAAATCACAAACATAAAATATGCTAAAGAATTGTTTGATTAGAATCTTTTAACGACTTCCAATATACATTTGACTTCTTGTTCAGAAGTATTAATAGCCATTCTCTAAATTTATTTTAAATATTTACTTCATTAATAAAATCCAAGGTTTTCAAATCTACCAAGAGATTACTGAACACTTTACAACCAATGCACGGTTTTGTTCTTCCAATTTCTTCGTTGCATTTTGGTAATGATGATAATTTATGGCAATTTAAGTGGGCATTTTGTACGGTAAATGATTTCCCTCTTGGTATTGTAATTTTTCATGAATAAAGTAAATTCAATTCTTTGTATTCTGTATGTAATTATTCCAAAGGATATATCTAATTCCCAAAATATGGGTTCTATTTATATTCGCAGATTAAGCCTCGTCATTAGGATTCATGTTTTTAAATTGCCTTTCCATGTGAAAAGAGGACTGTGTAAAACCGGTTTTAGCAAAAACTTCTCAAACTTAGAAACATGCCACTACCTCCCACATTACAGGAGTAATGGAGGTGTACGCGATCTCAATTCACAACTCAATCTCAAAAATCTTAAACAATGTGAATTTCAAGTATATTCTATTAAAGATTAAGACAGCTGTGTTTATCAGTGACCACGAACAAGAGCTTGACAGTACAAAAATCTGGTGCAAAAGAACATCAGATGAAAGAATCAGAATGTAAACTGAACACACAAAACTTTGTTGGGGTGTAAAAAGTAAGGTCATAGCAGTATGGGAGGAGATTCCAAAAGGAAGAAACAATGATGCATGACAAGATAAACCCGTGGTGAAAAAATTATGATGATGATTTTAAGGAAAAAGGAATAGTGATAACTCAGGCATTAAGTTTTAACACACTCATTAAGAAGACAAATTTCTAGACAATATACAATTTTATTCTCACTAAATGGTAAGAGTTATTTAAAAAATTCTTAAAAGGCCTCTTCAAAATTAGGGGGACACCTTATATTCAGATAAATGCTGAAATGGAACTATTTTAGAGCAGACTATGGTTCAATTAAGGCACGCTTTTCTGGGCATGATTTATTTTACAGCACATGGAAAATGATATTCTGGAAATTGAATATGAGAGACGTATGACACAAAAACTCCTAAAATCAAATCTCATCCAGACAGTCATATGAGAAGTTGAGATAAATCAGGATCAACTACCAAGTCAAAGAGTCAATCCGGAACCTATGAACCTGCATGACTGAGGTACAAGGCACACTGGTGCACAACTTGGCTTACAGTTCTTCTTTTTATTAATCAGTTAGAACGACCACATAGATGAAGGTATGACGAACGAACTGTTCTAGGTGTTGGAAAGTGGTTCTTACTCTTGTATGTGAAAACAAAACTGCCAGAAATAATTGGATCACCTGAGATCATTCAAGATGGGAAAATGATGATAACTAATCCACCTGAAATTGCAGAATTCTTTGCTGATTATTTGTAGGTGGTCTCTTAAGCTTGTATATCAACTCCCAATTCAGGAATATAGTGACACTGAAATGCTTGACTATCTGGACTTTTCAGATGATGGAACTGCAAGGGTAATGTGTAGGTTGTGTGCTAACTCTCCAGAAGGCCCTGATGGTATCCCAACTTGGGCAGTACTGGCTGTACTATTGTGAGTCAGGAAATCCTTGGGACAGGAAAATTACAATTTATATTGAGGAAAAAAAAAAAAAAAAAACTGTAACACAGATTTTCACGAAAGGTGACAAACAAAAAATACAAATTAGACCCGTAAATCTCACTAGCACAGAGGGAAAAGTCACGGAGAGATTGATTGCCCAGAAGCTTGGTGTCTATGAACGAAGAAAACACCATATTTCAAAACAACAATATTATTTTGTTGCTGGAAGATGCAACAAAAAAAAGTGATTTGATTACTTGGTGTCTAAGACTTAAGCCCTGTATGAAGGTCAACACATGGACCTACCTAAATTATGAAAAAGCATTTGACAAAGTCTTGCAAAACCAACTACAGCATCAAGCTCAAATCTTTCAAAATTCGAGGAAAATTGCTTGAATATTCCAGAATATCTCTCTGGCAGAACTTTCAAGGCGAGCTATCTTAATGAAATGAGGTACATAATGTTTTTATTTCACTGTTAAAGAATTCATTTTATTTTCTGACATGCTTTAGGACATTGTTTGAAACAATTGTTTCAATATCATTTATCATGAAAATATTGAAACAAAGTAAATCATGCATGAAAACTATCCAGCCTTCACTGAACCGATACTTCTGAAACCTTATCAGCTGGCACTACAGCTTTTCTGACAAACGGAAGAGTATATTTTGCGAAGTGATGTGGATTTTAGCAATGCCCAACCATTTTGGAATATATATAAAAGAGGTCTCAGGCCTGAAACCACTTTACAGAGAACCGGAGAGATTGGAACAAAAAGATTCATGTTATCTGAAGAAAATTTGCACAAAGAGAAACAAAACATGACTGGCAGTACAACTTATCCACATTGAGGATGAGGCGACAAGCCGAAAAGAGAGGAATAATAATATACTTACTGCTATTGCTTGCAGGTCATTTTCATAACTTTGGCGAAGTTTAGCACTAATCATTGCTTCTGCTTTTGACATGTTTTCAATGGAACCTTTCACAGTAATTATCCTTTCCAGGTTGAAACTATTGATATCATTGATACTGCAACAGTAAAAAAAACCAATAAATACTTTGTCATACAAGGATGGATTAATACATAAGCAGAACATGCACATGTAAAGGGCTTCCCCTACATAAAGAGTTCACCAAAGATTTAATCTAATTCCTTTTAAAATAACTTTCTACACAAACTAGCTTCCTACGGTGGAAGATTACTTTTATTTACTAACACATAAAACAAATTTCTTTGTTAGGTTTAGTGCAAGTACTTTGAGGTCAGTTCTTAATTATTCCAAAAAATTTTGCAAGGTTGTATTTTATTTTCATATTCATTTTCTCTTTAATTTCAATTTTTATGCTGCAAACTTTGGTCAAATTTAGGATCCATTGAGATATTAATGTTGTCCTGGTCTCACAATGTTATATAACATAAGATATTTTAGCAACAATAAGTATGAAGATAGCATCATCAAAAATAATTTGAATACTATTAACTGAAGAGTTTATTGGTTTTACTAAACTTATTACCCTAAAGCAAATATTAAAAAGTATCCCCTCTAAACCATCCATAGTAAATACGAAATAAAGAAAAAGTTCAGAAATCCCTTACCTGAATAACACTGATACGAAAATTACACTATTCTATAAAAAGATAACAAAGAAAGAAAAATTTGAAGCAGGGAAAGATTTGAACTAGGGAACCCTTTCCAACTCTAAAGGTAGCTAAGCAAAACTTTTCCTGCAGAATGTTACGGTGGCTATACGTTTTTCTTTTTAACACAAATTCAAAACTGAACTAGAAAATCTACACATTCAAACAGAGTAGATGAAGAGAGCAAGAGACATTATTATTTACCTTGAAACTGTAATTTTGGTGTCTGTATCTTGCATGATACGTTTTATTGTATTGCCTCCTTTCCCAATAATTCGACCAATCAAATTGTTGTGAGCAAGAATTTTCAGTGATATTTCTCTGGAAAAAACAATCAAAAAGAAGATCAGAAATTCCATTAAATTAATTATAATAGCATACATTACTAATATAAAATAAAACAAAAAAATAATAATAAAATAAATATTCTATATCAATCTACAATCTTTTAGAGGTACTTCAAAAACGCTAAAAACCTCTGACGTCTCACTATTAAAATTTGCTTATGGTTATATTTAGTGTCTTGCTTATTTCTGGTTTCCTTCCTTCATATTCACATTATCTCCATGATTTTCACCAAATCACATCTTACCCATTCTCCCTCTCCTACATGAAGATCCTACCAATATTGCCTCATATTGTCTCGGACACAATTTAAAAATTGTTATTTCTAAAAGTTTTGTCCGAATTGCTAGTTTTTATTTGTTTGTTGTTTTTTTGTATTGGGTTCTCTTTTTTCAAAACATTTATTTTGTGGTTTCATTCTTAGAACATTATTGTAACATTCAATTCTCACTGAAATTTCTCTCATTAAATACATTCATCTGGAAACTACAGACACTACTGATTTCCCATCCTTTAGCAGATCAATTTAAGACACTGAATTAGGCTAGATTTTAACATTATAAATTGCAGTGTTTTTATTGACAATGGAGGTAAGCGACAACTTAAAAAATAAGTTTCGGAGCAGTAAGTTATATTGTAATGCAGGTTTCCACATTATATCCAACTATTTGATATTATTATATAACTAGTATGTAAATTATTAAAAATATATTAATTTCCACACCTTGTGTGATTCATGTAGTGTCTTTCCAATAGAAATTCATCAATATTCATTTCTACAAATGTATGCAAAACATCCTGAGAGGTTTGTTTTATAGAATACGAAAAGGACAAAAACTAACAAACGCACACACACAAAGATAATGAAACAAGTTGTCAATAGTATTTCAATGCTCAAAAACCATAAAATGCTTCAAAATCTGCACTCGGTTTAAGAAATAACTCACCCTTTATTTGTGTTGTTTGCTTCTTGTTGCATTACTTCTAGTATTCTTTTACATGCATTTGTGCAATTGTCAGGGTTTCCATAAATGGTGATTGCTTTCTCCAAAGATCCAACATTGTCTTTCCGATGTACATCCACCCTAAAAAGTATTAAAACATTTTAAGCCAGTATATAAAACATATGTTCATTTAACACTTATCACTGCCAGGCACTCTGGTAGTCATCTAAAACACCTTGTGCCAGATATATTTTATATCTAGGTGGAATTTCACCGGGTCGGATATACATTCACGTACCTAAGGAACTATCCCACACAATTTATTGAAATTTTTTACAAAATATTTAACAGGTTTTGATACGGTATGATATCTAGTGTCTCTATCACCAGTGGTATATTATATCAGAAAGGAAATTTGTAGCACTTCTAAATTTGTGTGTTCCTGAATCAGCTATTTGACGTGTTGCACTTCTTTCTATTGAACCACTCTCACCAACTTCCAAATGATTATTACTTTAGTCACATGGCATCAAGTTCTCACCACCAGAATCATAGCCTGAAAATATTTTGCCCACTACAAAATGAATATTTTCAGGACATAGATCTATCACTATCGACACTCCCACTGGGAGCCTACTTTGGAGGCGAAATAAACAAAATATTTCAAAGCCAAATTCTTGAACATAAAAGTTACATATCGATTAAACAATTTTCACAGCTGTATATTAGTTATGCTTATGTTCACATTAATACAGCAGAAACCAAAACTGTACACGAGGCCATCCCAATTGTTTGTTAGGATGGTTACCCACGTTGTTATCCTGGGACTAATTTCCATGACTTGTCCATGTCTTTCCATGACTAATCTTCCCCACTCAAGACAATTTTTTGGAAGCATTTCACTTTTTTACTTTTCTTTGTTACATAAACTACTTTTATATTTATACTAAAACTAGTCCTTTTCTCTGCATTACCCAAGCTTCTCTAGCACTAATGCACCATGAGAGGGGCAGATACTACAAGTATAAATCAAATCACTACATTAATTTTATATCTCGACTCTAATTTCACAGAGAAAAAAGATCACATTAACAATATTTGCTTAACAAAAAAAAAAAAAAAAAAAAAAAAAAAACAACAACAACAACAAATTATTCACAGGACAGTGTGGGGAGGAGAAGAATTCTGTATGGAACAAATTATTATTAAGTTAATTCCACATTTAATAGTGTGAAATTCTCTACAAAATTGGAGAAAGCATTAAATTAGCAAAAGGTTCTCCAATCAATATTTATTAAGAAATTTAGTCCCATGGCAAATTTTTCATTTTCATAAATTATTAATAATATGCCAATAATATGTTAGATTGACTTTGGTACCCACACTTTTCTTTCTTTTTGCAGTGAATATTAGTCCACGTTGCTTACATGGCAACTGAATTTTCATCACGTTTGTAGTACAAAATTTTAAGACAATGTTTTTTGGTTCTTGTACCCCAAGAGAAACGGTGCATGATTTGTGTACTATAATTCATAAGCCGAGAGCCAGTACCTCCGATTGTGATGAATTTTGCATCAATTGTATCAATTACTCCTCAGAATACCTGGTGAGGTTTTTACAATTAATACTGTGCGATTCCTAAGAAAAATTACTACATATTGAATAAAAGAAAAAAGTTATTTCCCCATACAACTTCTCCATTAACTTAAAAAAACACTATGCCCGCAAAAGTTTTTCCATAAGAGCCTGTACTAACTAAAACTTTAATAAAAAACTAAGGCTGGAAAGAGCGTATTTTTTCTGAACATCTTGAAGAACAGAGATTTTGCTTTCATTTAAAAAACTTTTTGAGGGCACTTCACCGTGGTCAATCTACTACCTTACAATATAACATCTAATTTTATAATTGGTTGAAAAACTTCTCTAATTTCTAAAGATTCTTCCACAAATTCCTTAATTTTTTCCAGTTTTCAATGTACCAAATTTTCCAGTTTTCCAGAAAGTGGCTACTGCAAGTGTTTTAATAGAAAATACAAACATCAATAAATCACTAATTGAAGAACAATAGGTAGGTGTACTAAATAATAAATTGAAGAGTAACAAGACTCAAAACCTTTTTCTTGAAAGTTGTCTTGTAATAAAACAATTTTTGTTGTTGTAAATTTTACCTTTTGAGGAGAAAATGGAAAAAACATTGGTAAACCAATAAAGAAAAGGATATGATCAGATGAATTCATTCCCTAAAACGGCCAAAAACTATTTTCTATAAATTAACTTTATGCATACCGTGCCCTTGTTTGTTGTGTAATCAAGCGGATCGTGCTTCCTTGTCGCCCAATTATAGCTCCAACCATGTCACTCTGAACCAAAATTCGCAATGGGAAATCCGTCTGCCTCCCTGAACCTGGCAGTCCTGAAAAAGAGGCTGCAGGACCTCGGGACGCACGGCCTCTGCTTCTGCGCTCCATTGAAATTTCCACTTTTAAAGACGCTCCTTCGAAATCGCAACCATTTAGTTGGTTCACAGCCCTGCAACAAAATGGGATATCAGGTTTCATTATGTCATATGAGCAAAAAAGAAATTTACGACTATATGCAATTAACAAAGAAAATATTAAATGAAATAAGCTGTAATACGAGTGTTTTTAGACAAACTGAACTGACAAATCACCAGCACTTACTTAATCATCTCCTAATGATATGAATATTTGAAAACAAATCTTCTATACCATTTAGTTTACTTATTAGGAGTAATTATGAAATTATGACCTACTACCACTAATTTACTCATTATCCAGGTAATATTAGTTGTGTATCTTGCACATGAATTTTTGTATCTTACAAAATAGAAGTAGTGAAAAATATATTTCATTAACTTACTGTTGAGCTTGTTCTTGTGTCTCATAACTAACTTGAACAGTTTGTGTGGAACCATCTCGAGAAGCAATCTTCTCACAATTTTGGACGGGACCAAACGGTGTCAGAAGAGGCTCCAAATCTTCAAACCGCACATGTGTTGGCAGGTTACTTAATACAATCTTGCCAGGACCACTGCAACATGCAATTATAATACATATTTAGACGTAATTAAATAAAACATACCACACAATTTTGGAAAATGGGTGCGAGAAGCTAAAACACAGCATGAATATATATACATATACATACATACACACATTTTATATATAAATACATAAAATAAATAATTAAATTTGTATCGAACTTATTTTCATTGCATGACAAGCATTTTTTTCAAAAATCTAATATTACACGAGTGTCGAATTTCACTTTCGGAATAGAAAAGCAAATACATTTTTTCCACTACTTTTACCCATACTCTGGAAGAAGATTCTAAACTCGTCCACAAAAGGCAGCGCGATGATGACCCGAGCCCCTCCCCCATTCTCCCGCTGTGGAACATCCTGTTAGATATGCCTGACTGTAACACTGCAGACCGCCACGCGAGCGTTATGTGATGCGCACGATGTGTCCCGTAGTGTGGCGCGAAAGCACCAATTAACAACACCCGCCACACAGATAATTAATAGTTCACACGTTCTATTACCGTCTGAAAAACATGATTCGGGTATGATTCACAATTGGGCGAGTTCGCGGAGCACAGTTCATTTTTAGATGGAACACGCATCCGCGTGGAACCAGCAGCCCCCGCGGCGAGTCTTCGTAACGCACCATACCACAATTTTTCTCCTCAGAGCTGTGCACATAAGAGGTTTATCAAGGTTTGATAAGGATTCGAGATACGATTAAGTGTAGCAGTGCAAGTTAACGCTACACTTGTGTAAGAAGAATTTCAGCCTAACGCACAAGAATCTTAATTGTCTCCGTCTTGCAACGTGCACTACTTCACTAAAAAGTGCATACCGGCAATATTCACGAAGTCTGAATGTAGCCTACTCACCTCGAATAATGTGGAGGTGAGGAATTTGGTGTAAAATGTTCGAATTACATCAGAATTTCAAACCAGCGAAAAGAATCATCACTCTCGTCGTAAAATGATCCAACGCGTCAACTCTTGGATTGCACCAACCCATACACGCACGCATTCACACTTCTCTTCGTACAGGAGAGAAAAAGGGAGGCGGTTTTCTCCCGCAGTTCGGCGGAGACAGAGAAAGAAAGAGACATTGCAATACGAATAAAAGGAGACAGAAAAAGAGTGCGTGAGCAGGGTAGGGGAAGACTTACGTCATAAACGCACACGTCACACGTGGGATAAAAGTATGCCATTGGAGCAGCGTGAGCCAATGATCGTTGAGCGCGGGAATACGTTTTTTTCTTGGACGGTGTCGAGACCTATGCCATGACTGACTAGTGCCGGGCATTTTAATCGCTTCAAAATAAATAGTTAAAGAACTTGCACCACAGCTTTATAACGTAATTTACAGCCCTCCAGTTAGATCTGGTGAAGTTAATGCACCATGAAATGGAAATTTTAATTTTCTTTAGAGGTATTATTTTTAACCAAATAGCAAGTCAATCACTTATTTCGTTACAACATAAATTAGTTTTACTTTATTCGTTAACCTTAATTCCCACAGTAATATTTTCAACGGACAGCATCTGCATTACTAAAGTAGCACGTAAAATCAGTATTACTTCTTAAAGTGCATCTTTATTATTAAAGTAGCTAGATATAAATTGGTATAATAACTTCTAATAAGACTATTTTTTCCCTTTAAGTTTCTTTAATCAATGCAATTTTCTTTCTGCTAGTAGCGTTAGAAAATCACGTGGGAGTTACCACAGTAAAAGGCAGGGACATCCGTAAGACGTTTAAATGTTCCGCGAAATGCGGTAAATGATAATTAACGCTTCAATAAACATTACCACTCAAACTCCTTTCAATAATACAGAACACCACTTGTTTCCAAAATACGATTACTCTTATTTTAACAATAAATATGAGCGGATTCACTTATTTATAATACACGTACTTAACGTATAATGACACGTTTAGTATCAAGTTATGTTGATTCTCGCGCATTCTGAGAAAAACAATGTTTGCAACATTTTTATTCACCTAATGCACATTTAAATTATTGGCATGCAAGAGGATATTCGCATACATCCCGTATTTGCCTTGTGGCAGCAAAAAATGACTCCATGCAATAAGGAAGGGCAATTAAAAGAGTTTATGGCGGAAGAGGACACCGAGGTCTTCAGGCGACGTGCAAGAGACCATTTCGAAAAATCAATTTTCATAAGAAGTTCGACCTGCAATATTCGTGAAGACTGTTAAAATTAGTCATTTATTGCAGTGAAATAAGAGTATTTTATTTGTTGTTCTTGGGCAGTAAGCATGCTACTTTTTGGAGAACAATTTTGTGCCTTTTATATATTTTTTGGAGGGAATGAAGGAAGCAACCGGAGTAACTAACAAACCAGCAGAACCAACAAAACAATTGCAACAAATTCTCATCATCCGGCACGTACGTGAGCCAAGTCATATTTTCGAAACCTATAAACCACGTTAGGAGAAGCGTTAGTGTACCCGTTTATAGTTCCCTACAAACCAGTTTGCGCCAGATGGAAGGGTTAAATCAGGAGGATAATCTGTGCAACAACAAAGAGAGCGAGATAACAATGGAATCTCTCAACAACAACAACAAAAAAAAAGGTCTCGGACTCGCGACGCAAGACTCGCCCTTTCCTCCGGCAAACAGCATAACGCAAGATTTTTTTTTCTCATTCGCCATTTTCAAGAGATTTTCGAGAAGATTCAGTAGCCTGAAGCTGGTTCACGCCCTAAATACAGCCCTCTCAATTATTTACACCATCTCTTAAATTTTTTTTAGAGCCCTTTCGCATATTAAGTACGTTTGGGGCTTCTGACAATGTTCGACGCAAAACCAGCTGCTTCAGCAGGAAATATTGAGAACTGGCCCCATCCCACGTTTAAAAGAAAGGTGGCGTTAACAATTGGTGCACGGCACCCTAAAAACAAGTTGCGGCCTAACGGCCGAGACGACCCTCCCTGGGAAGCGCGAAGCGAAACGTTGCCAGCGATTCGAACCTTGTGCACCTTCCCCGGGGAAACAAGGGAGGTTTTCCAGCCGGCAGAACAGCATGGCGTCAAAAACCTGCGAGTAAAGAACATGTATTCGTCTCAACCTCGTGATTTTACGCCATGCCATTCTCTCAGCACGTCGGTAATACGAATTAGAAACGGCAAGTGAAAAGAAAAGTGAAAGGGCAATGGATGAGATCATGAATTATTATTAATTATAATTAATAATAATAATAATAATAATAATAATAATAATAATAATAATAATAATAATAATGCCCATCCGGATAGCCGAGATCGCTAAGGCTATCCGGCGCAAGTGCCGTGGCGATCACGAATGGAAGGGTTGCGGGTTCGAGTCCCGTCTTGGGCATGGTTGTGTGCTTTTATCTGTATGTGTACGATTGTCCTTCACCCATCATTATCATCATACTTCATCCCCTCGGGGCTAACAATTCGGGGGAGTGAAAATGTATTCGATATAAAAGTGCCGTTCCCCACCCCCCCAAAAAATGTAACGTGCACTTGCCCCCGGGAGAATATGACGCCACGTCACGGTGGGTACAAGTGGCACGTTCGTGTGGTCCTACGATGGCCAATAATATTTCTTTTAGTTTCTTCATTCCAGATTAAGAATGCAGTTATTGATTTTCCCTCTATATTCACTGAATATTATTAATATATGTTAAGTAGTTCAGTATACTGTTGATCATTCACTGAACAATTCAAATTTAAGGCAACTTCACCCATCTCTTTTCTCTCTCCCCTCAAGTTCATTCCCAAGACAAATGGCACGCGTGGTACACGGTTAAATGTGTAGACATGAAAGTCTTATTAACATTAAATAAGAAAATGGAGAATCAATTTCCGTATGGGCTAATTCTCAATGGTAGGAGTATTTCATTCTCGCCTTCAATCTACTGCAGTACCGCTCACAAAATAAAGTTCCTTATAGTGTTCAATCATCACACTTATTCTCCGATCAGGCACGTGTGTGTGTGTGTGTGTGTGTGGTGGGGGGGCAGTTTTAGTTCATAATGTTTGGCGTGTCAATTTCATTATTTCCATTCTTTACTTATTCTTATACTTTTATGTTTACAATAAAATCGGTCGCTGTATGTAAAGCACTTGTGAAGTTATAATCGAACTTCAAATGAAAGTAGTTGCTCTCTCGCGAATCAGTTATCAATTACGCAGGTATTTGCCGAAATCTTTATTTAACATCTCTTTTTTTTTATCTTTCCGGACTGTCGCCACAATGCATTTTTTACTCAGATTAACAGACTTGTGTAACTGCCATTCCGGTGCCCGGAGAATTCCATGTGGTGAGGGGGCAACGGAGGACAGAACAAATTGCAATGAAGGCACATTCTATTGACTTAAGAACATAATACATTTAGCAATACATTTTAATTATTCTCTGCAAGTTGTATTGAAATATTCTCAATTTTAAGGTACGGCAAAGTCATATTTTGAATTTTTTCGTTATTCATTTCCGCGGAGATACACGCAATTGCTGCGTCCTTTTTTAAAGAACTTGTTCAACATTCACCACAAATTATGTACATAGATATTAAATGAAGTTAGCAAAGTGTTTATAGACAGGTTTAGCTGTAAGAGAACGCCCGAGTTTTCAGAAGCGAGGACGTTGGCGACGTTTCCAAATTGTTTCTTAAATATTCGGTAGGTGTTGAAATACGAAACTATCACTTATGTCAAGGAAATAATAATGATAATAATAATAATAATAATAATAATAATAATAATAATAATAATAATAATAATATAAGCGATGATACAGTAACTCGTTACCCACGATAGCGGAAGCATATCACGCCGATGCCCGTCGTCTCGCTCTCACCCACGCTGTTAAGAGTCTGTTCAAAGAGTCTGTTACCAGAGTCTCGTTGCTGAAGTCGGAAATGCTTAGCGAAGCGTCGACTGAGGTGAGGTTAGGTTAGGTGGTATGGCGTAAATTGAAATTCACGACCGACACAGCGGTACTCGACACTAAACACCACGTCTCTCACTAGCCACCATCAGTCTGATTTCTGTTTATCACATAATATTTGCTATTCATCGTCGCCAAAACGTTCTTAACATAATCGAACACTTATGTACGTAATAAGTTTAAAAAACAGAAATTCGTAATACGAATGAGGAGTTTCCTTGCATTAGAAGTCGCCCGTCAGCTCCTTAACTGTGAGATTTTGTGTCAAAGAACTAAACACACGAATGTTTCATTGCAGTCTTCTTACGCAGAAGATCTACTACGGCTGCTTTTGGCGTTTGTGAACTAGAAATGGAAGTTCATTTAAATGTAACTTAAGTCGGCTAAACTATGTTACTGAACATTCGATACGTTTGTCAAAGTGAATCGGTAATGGTGAAGACAAACTTAATCAAATACGTTACAAGTTTTTTCAGCTAACGCATTGATTTTATCCGAACAATTACAGTTCTAAGGGAATCAAGCAACTTAGAGGTTACGTAGATTACAGCGAGAGGAAGCGGCAGCTAGCGATTGAAACATAGTTCCGAAGCCCTTTTTCCCGCAACTCTACAGTGCACTAGCACGGGCCACAACCGTGGTAGCGAGCGAGGTAGCGTCGACGGCACGGGCCTCTGAGATGGAAAAAAAAAAGCGAAAGGAGGGGCATGCGGACGAGAGAGGGAGAGAACGTACGAGAGATAAAAGAGTCGCGATAGACGAAAGAAAGAGACAGGACCGACGGGTTGAGAACTTCTGGGCCAAGAAGCGCCTAAAGCTGCCGGGAGGAAGCAGATAAGTTTCTCGCATAGTTTGGGTCACGCATTGAACCCCACGGGTCAAGGCCGTTCGGCATTCTTGGAACTCCTCTGGGAATGCACCCGCGCCGCCGCCCGCCCGCCCGCTTGCTTGCTTGCCCGGGCTGGGTGGCAATGTGTTCGACGCCTGCTCTCCTCCGACTAGTCGTAGGTGCAAGGACTTCTCACAGCGAAGGATCCTTCAATGCAAGGCACACTCGCTAGCATCCGACGGCTGCTGTTACTTTTAGAGTATCTGGGAAGGAGGGGCGTGGAAGGGAGGAGGGGGGGGACGATTAGCTTCATTCACGCCGTTGGAACAGGTTACAGCATCACGGCATAAGGTGCAGCGCAGAGGCGGCCTTTTAATACAGCGGAATGCGGAATACAGGCACGTCATTTCCATGAAGGACAAGTAGTGAATACTAGACGTATGAAACCCACGCCGCTTTCCTGAAAAACGGAGCCGTGTAAAATCGCTAAAATGAGATAGCTAAGTTCCTAGAACTGTATATCGAAATATATCAT